AAAAACACTAAGTCGAGATCTAACCACTCATATAAACTACAACTCAAACTCTCAAAACTGAACTGCTACAAAAATTCTTTCTTTGTCAGAATTATCAAACCCTGGAATAATCTTCCTATTAATGTATTTAATTTTTGTGACAGCCCTAACGTTTGTGAGTTTAAATCAAAATTGAGGAAACATATGAATATATATTGAATCGCCATTTTATATTGATATTAAGCTGCTTCTTATTTGACTTTTTTATATTTTTATTAACTAGTTCTGTAAGATTTTTACATAAATAGGAGACCCTTGATATAGGGCCAACCTCTGGGTTTCCTTTTTCTTAATAACTATGTATTTGCATGTTGTTCTGAAATAAAGTATTGTATTGAATATGTAGCGAATCTTGTGTTCTGATTGGCTAACCGAGCAGGCAAAATGGGCTCATCATGCCCGCTCGGGATTGCCCACTTTGATCCCTCGCAAGAAAAGAAGTGCGTGGAGTGGACTTACAAAGTTCGCAGCTTTTGGGCAATGTCAGCGATAAAGTCGCATAAAGCGGCAGAAGACAGTCAAAACAAAGAAAACATAAACGACCTTTGTGGTTTCAGCGTTCTACAAACACAGTTGGCTTTCTTTCCCTAGTTATCGAAATATACAAGTCATTCTTGATTCTAATTAAAGCGAATCATTTTTTTCTGTATAATAAATCCTATATTTACCAAGCTCGTTTGATCAAGATGGCTGGGTATTACAATCGTCCCTCTTTTTTGCGTTTTTAGAGACTTCGACTTGTCTCGATCCATAAAAACACAAGAAAAAAATGAGCCAATAATGGTCCAGGCACCTTGACCTCACCCTTGGTCAACAACGCTTTATATAAATCTTCAGCTCCTAATCTCAGTGCACATGGCTCGCCAAATATCATTATGTTCCATGTGAGCGACAAATGATTCTTTAGCTCTCGAAGGAAACGCTAAAGATTCCAAAACCACCGCCACCGTAGTGTTTTGTCGAGTAAGTAGAGTCGAGAGGTTGAAAATCGGGCAGTTTATAATCCCTTGCTATGCTATAGTTCATAAAATGGATAGTTGCAAAACAAAACGATTCACAGACAGGTCGGTCCGTTTTGTCATAAGGGAATCATATAGCATTCCCTTTAACAGAAGCACATTGTTACAGCCAAATTATATCCAGGTCTCTGTTGATTAGTGGCACCAACAGCCTTGAAAATTCTGAAAGGAAATTGGAAGAGAGGCGGGTGAAAGGATTATTGAATTAGACAGATCAGGAGGTCTATAAAGGTGTGAGAAATGTTGTGTAGTACACTTCTTTAAAAAACAGCAATATGTGGTGTTTCATTATAATTCAAGATAAAGGTGAGAGATTAAATTGTCTGCAGATACTTTAAACTTAAGGGATCCCTTCAATAGTTTTTGAGACTCTATCTCAAACATCTCCTTTGTTGATAGGACGTTTTCGTATGATAATAAAAAATTCGGCATAACCTCAAAGCTTTTCAGAAGGCTTAAGAGCCACTGACTGTAAATATCGAGAATCCGCCGACAATTGCAAAACGTCGTAATTCGTTTTTTTTTTTTTAAAGGACCCTTTTAATGAGCCTTTTTCGAAAATTATATCAAAAAGTTCTAACGCGCTTTTTTTTTTCTCCGAAAAATCGAAAAGTTCAAAATACGCTTAAATGGCCGTTGCTCTCCCCCTCCCCCTTGAAGCAACGAAAAATTATGCAACTTCGGCAACTTCGTACGCTACAACGCGATGTAATCCCACTTTTAAATTTTGTGCTAGCAGATTGTTCTTTCATCTCTTGGAAAATATTAATTTCTTGCTATGATGTTCCGTTTAAGTCTGAATAGTGACCAGTTAAAATCAAATTCTTCGCGTCTCTTTCGCGGAGGTAAAACCACAATTGCTTTACAGATCTATCAGTTTCATATTACTTTAAAAAGTTAAAGTATAAGCAATTGGAATCAAACATAGGGAGATATTCTCCACAAGCAAAAATAATAATTATTGTGTTCACATTATAGTGGATTACTACATGTACATACAGACAATAGGGGCCACAATACTCTCATTGAATCTATTGGAGTGCCAACTTGAATGCATCTGAATGCAGTAAAGTAACCGCATTTTGTGAGCAGTGTTTTGGTATTTATTTTTCAGATGGGTGTGACTTGGACACAGTAAGGCAGTGGATGGACAATGAAATGGCAGAGATAGTCCCAAGAGAAAAAGGTAGGTTATACTGTAAATAAAGGTTGTCAATTGCAAAAGTACAAATGAATGTAAGGGTTGTTAGGATCAGGCACTGAACTCCCAGTGACCTTATCA